GTGTTAGTTTGCAGATCTCATTCAGTTCCTAGAGTGCTTGCCTAACATGCACAAAATCCTAGATTCAATCCCAATCACTGACTAACAATTGGCGTAGTGGTGTATGCCTGTGATTCCCAGACCATGGAAGGTAGAGGCATGAGAATCAATTCAAGGTCATCCTTCACATGTTGAGTTCAAGTCCAGCCTGAACTACTCCTGCCTCAAAAGAAAAGAATTTTAATTGTTTAAATAAACAAAAGAAACCCTATGGGAAGTGGATAGATTCATAGAGACCAAAGGCATATTGGTGGCCAGGACAAACAAAGGATAGGGCATAACTGCTGATTGGATACAGAGTTATTGTCTGGGATTATGAAAACTTTTAAAACTAGACAGAGGTGGTGGCTATCCAGTCACTCAATTGTGTCACTCAATTGTACACAAAATGTTATTTGATTTTATCCCCAGTTTTTCAAAAGAGAGAAAGATGAAGAAAGTTGACCTTAAAATGTGAAAAGGGTGTAGTGTGGTGGTACACCATGTAATCCCAATACTTGAGAAGTGAAGGCAGGAAGATCAAGAGGTCAAAGCTAGCCTCTGCTACATATTAGGATTGGGGCCAGACTGGGCTACATGAGACCCTATCTCAAACAATTAAAATTAGGGAAAGAGCCCTGGAGAAATGGTTCAGTGGTTAAGAATACATACTGCTCTTAAGAGGACCTGAATTCAATTCCCAAATTTATGTCAAGCAACTCACAACCACCTATAACACCAGCTCCAAGGGAATCTGACACTCTTCTGGCCTCTGCCAGGTGCTTGCACTCATCTGTGCATACCCCCACACAGACATATACACATATACATATTTTTATATCTTAAAAAAATAGGGAAGGGGGTTAGGAGCCAGGGAATGCCCTCGAGCCAGCTTTGGCAGAGGGTAATGGTGACTATGCCTCCCAAGACACAGTCATAACCTCTGGAACTGATTGTTCAATGACAGTTTACCAGTACAGAAGAAGGTCGCGTGTGAGAGTTTCTAAGAGTGTGAGAACTGTGAAGAAAATTCAACAGGGGAACTCGTTTGGCGAGTAGGCAGGAAGCCAGAAGTGGCGGTGAGGCTATAGAAACTAGATTGCAGGACCTTCTGGACATCTACTCGGCTAAGGCATCTATCTCCTCATGCTCTCACCCTATACCCCTTGGCTGGAGGACAGCCCGAACACTGTGTCTTCCTTTGCAGACCAACCATGTAATCAAAAGGCTTGAGTTCTAGGCTTAGCTCTGTGTGGCCCTGTGGCATCAGTTCTCCAGGCTAACACTGTGTCTCACAGGAGGCCATGTGGCTGGGACCACATGCCATTCTGGAGGTAGGAAGTCTACAATAGGTCATAGAACATTCTGGAGGTTTGAGGGGAGAATCCCTCTTCTGCCTCTTGCAGTTTTTAGTGGCTTCCAGTAGTACCTGCCTCACGACTCAGCATTCAGTGGCCACTGTTTCATCTGGTCACATCTCTTACCTACTCTCATGGGTCCCTCCAACAAGGACCCCCAGGATTGGGTTCTGCCCCACTAGATGACCGGTGAACATCTCCCTATCTCAGATCCTTAACCTCAACACATTTGCAAAGTGCCTTCAGACAAGGACTTGGGTGTGTTTAGAAGCCCACCATACTTGGTAACTGGACTAACCCGGGGTTCCCCTGCACTCCAGGCACAGGCCACATCAAGCCTTCGGGCTCCTCTGAGCAGGAGTGGTGGGGCCCAGAGCCCAGAAACATGGCTGATCTCCACCATTTGGCCAAGAAGAGGCTCAGAATAGAAAGGGGTGTGGCTAAGTTTGGGACTGGTGTTTCCAGGATGGTCCTGGTTGGAAGGCCCTGGGGATCAGCTAGTCCAATTGACTCCATTTTACAGATGGGGAAAGTGAGTCACAGTGGCTCCACCCAAAGTCCACTCCCTTGGGAGACCATGCCCTGTCCCCCTGATCCCAATACTGGACCATCTGTCCCAAGCCTGGGCCTCTCTGTCCCAAGCCCTCACTGCTTCATCCCAGTAGGCAATGATGGGTTTGTGGGTTTATCAGCCTCTCTGATGTCAGTAGCCCCAGTACCCAGCCCAGAGGTCATGGTCATTAGACATTTGGGTTTACAAGGACATGAGGATCTCTCTGCTAAAATCTATCTGGCCATAGGTAAAATGCATCCTACCTAGCCCTGCTCTTTGGAGGCCTCTCTGGCTCTTGAAAGAGCCTAAGACAAGGTATGATCCAGAGGACAAAGGACATGCCCACCAGGAACCCTGAGGATACTGAGGACCCTGGATACTGAGAACTCTGAGATTCCCTGTATAGATGTCCCATATCTGCTTCCAGCATGGTGGTATACTCCCTAGAGACCATCCTAGTCGGCTGTTGTGGGGTGTAGACAGAGCTTTCGCTGTGAGTGTGTGTAACTTCATGTTGAGATGGAGTCTGAAATGGAAAGAGTATGGAGATGAGCTCACTGCCCACACTCTACTGTGGAAATGGGAGGAGACCAAGAACTCTGGAGTCCAAACTTGGTTTTCCAGCTTTCCTTGAACACCTGTCTGTCCAGCTGGGAGAAGAGCGTGTGTTTGGCTTAACACTTGACTGCTCGTAACTTTTACCATGTGCTCAGACACCGTGGAGACTCAAGCACTGCTCTGCTGTCCCTGGTGAGGTAGACTCTGTGGCTGAGGACTTACCCAGTGCTGACACATGTGCTACAGCAGCAGCCACCTCAAGGACAGCCAGCAGAGGGCATGGGCCTCAATGTCTGTTCTTGTCCTTGGCCTCATGGTGACAAGGGCAGACTCCCTGCCTTAAGCCATCCTCCAACCTCAGGTCTGACCCATCCTGCTCCCTGTCTCATCCAGTACTGCTAACCAGCTGACTTCTCTATCTTTTTTCCCCAGGACAACTGCTGCCCGGGACAGGTGACCTGGGCGCCCCATTAGGGCAACGGCCCCTGCCCCACGGGCCAGGATCATGAAAGGCCTCGGTGACAGCCGCCCCCGCCACCTCTCCGACAGCCTGGATCCACCACATGAGCCCCTGTTTGCAGGGCCTGACCGCAACCCCTACCTGCTGTCGCCCACAGAGGCCTTTGCCCGGGAAGCCCGCTTCCCTGGGCAGAACACGCTGCCCGGGGATGGGCTCTTCCCACTAAACAACCAGCTGCCCCCACCAAGCAGTACCTTTCCCCGTATCCACTACAACTCTCATTTTGAGGTGCCTGAGGAGAGCCCATTCCCTAGCCATGCCCAAGCCACCAAGATCAACCGGCTTCCTGCCAACCTCCTGGACCAGTTTGAAAAGCAGTTGCCCATCCATCGTGATGGCTTCAGCACCCTCCAGTTCCCACGGGGTGAGGCCAAGGCCCGAGGTGAAAGCCCAGGCCGCATCCGCCACCTGGTCCACTCTGTTCAGCGGCTCTTCTTCACCAAGGCACCCTCACTGGAGGGCACCACAGGCAAGGTTGGTGGCAATGGGGGCAAGAAAGGTGGCCTGGAGGACGGCAAGGGCCGGAGGGCCAAAAGCAAGGAGCGGGCCAAGGCTGGGGAGCCGAAAAGGCGGAGCCGCTCCAACATCTCAGGCTGGTGGAGTTCTGATGACAACTTGGACGGTGAGAGTGGTGCCTTCCGCAGTGGCCCTGCCTCAGGGTTGATGACACTAGGCCGCCAGCCAGAACGCAGCCAGCCCCGCTACTTCATGCATGCCTACAACACCATCAGCGGGCACATGCTCAAAGCCACCAAGAACACCACCACCGAGCTGACTGCCCCACCACCCCCGCCAGCTCCCCCTGCCACTTGTCCCAGCCTTGGGGTGGGCACCGATACCAACTATGTCAAACGTGGCTCCTGGTCCACTCTGACCCTCAGCCATGCCCATGAGGTCTGCCAGAAGACCTCAGCCACCTTGGATAAGAGCCTGCTGAAGTCCAAGTCTTGTCACCAGGGTCTGGCCTACCATTATCTACAGGTAAGTGTCTGCCACAGCAGGTAGGATTGGCGTGGGGCAGGGTGACGGTGGTTTGGAGTTCCAGATTCAGTGGTGAGGTTGCTTCATGCCAAGCCTCCCTGGAATGGGGGCTGTTGGGGGTCTCCTAATAAGGGGATCCCCTGTACTCCTCATGCTCTTAGTAGGGTATTGATTAGGCCTTTCATAATCTAGTCCTGAAGAGACTGAAATATGTCCCTGCCCTCTAGACTACAGATCTGGAATCTGAGCCGCTACTGGCTCTTCACAGGACAAACGTGGCATTCTAATGACCAGTCTCCTACCTGCCACCCCCATGAGACTGGATCCTCTTTGAGGACAGAGACCACATCTGATGCAGTCATGTGCCCCCCTCAAGGCCCAGGACAGGGTCTGACAGAGAGGAAGGGCCCAGAAAATGAGGGAAGCGTAGTTGGACAAATGGGTAAGGAAATCAACAGAGCTAAAAATAAGTAAGCAACAGTCCCAAAGACCAGGATGCTGAGAGAGAAGACAAAAGAACAGACAGGGAGATATGGGGGTGGCTTAGTGTGGGTGAGGAACAGCCCAGGGCTGCCAGTCCAGAGGCCTACCATGCTGAGGCGGTAGCGGGGAGACCTTCTCCTTTCTCATGCAGATGTGTATGGAGGCACTTAGGAACCAAGGCCACACAGCTTGAGAGGGCAGAAGGCTTGGCCACATTGTGTGCTGTGGCACAGTGGGAAGGTGGTTTCTGCAGAACAGGGCTAGCTGCTGTGAACTGGAAGGCAGGGTTTATGGACAGAGCCCAGTAGGTAAAAGTGACAGGAGCAGATTGCAGGTGGAAGGGGCTGCTCCTGGAAGTAGTGAGCACCGTGTCCCAAGGGTGTGCGAGCAGAGGCCTGGCTGCCATGAAGAAGCCACATCAGATGCATTATGAACAAAATGAACTTCAAGGTGTGACAAGGTCCGAGTTCTTGTCTTTCTCTATAAAGTTCCAGAGGCAGGGAGAAGATGGGAAAGAGTATTTTTACAATAGCAGGAAATTGGAATCTAGGCAGCCTTTTTGATATGTTTAGGGCCTTTGTGGCTCTCAGTCTGTTCCCGTAGTTTAGACACTTAGGGAAGATGTTTGACCACCCTCTCACCTTGGTGTGGTTTGGTCTGATGTGTAAAATACCCCCACAACACCAGGAGAGAACTCTTGACTCTGGGGCTTGTGCTGCATATTTGGTGACAGGGGGTAAGCAGGTGGGCTGGTCACAGGTTCTAAGCAGGGATGCCCAAGTTCCCTTTCCCTGGGGATAGTATGGGTGGGGGGGAATGGAACAGCTGGTGATGAGTGAGGTAGAATTCACATGTCCTAGTGACTAGATGGCTGGGCAGTCAGCTGGGGGTTGTGGGAAGGCTGGAGTAGCCTCTAGGAAGGGGGTTCCTCATCAGGAGGTATCCACTGGTGTCAAGGGCACAAGAAGGGTGTGGTACCCATGCAGGTATGCTGATCGAGGAGTATGCATTGCACTGAAACCTATGACTGGCATCCTCAGTGAGGCGTACAGCCATTCTGCACATGTGGCAGCAGGTATATGACAAGATATGCATCCAAGTGCAGTAGCTACTGGTCTGAGTGTGAGTAGGGGTGTATCACGTGACTTTGCTCTGTGTACATGTGGGGGGTGCGTATGATGAGATGGCCATTGATGTGCATTCTTGAGGAGGCATTCATGGGATGCTGGGAGTACTTGCATGGAGCATGGAGGGCAGGTGCCTGCTCCGCTCCAAGTGTGTTAAGTTGTATATATAAGACAAAGTCCAGGTTCCGAAGCACATAAATGCCAAGATGTGGCTATTCCTCCTAAAGTGACCATGTACCCAACTATATGAGTCTGCATACCCTGCCCCTAAAGCACTTGACATTGAAGTCAATGGAAGGGCAGTGGAGGTCCCCTCAAAACCACTTAGGACCAGAGTGACCAGGGATGCCCTCCTGCTGTGACTGCACTTGCCCTTATCACAGCCCTGTTCCATAGATGGTGTCCCTAAGGCTTACTTAGGGAAAACTGAGACCTTTTTCCTGAGTTGCCATTTAGCTGATTCATCCAAGCAAACACCCCTGCTATCTCTACCTCAGTTTCCCCATCTAGAACAAGGAATATCGATTGACTGGGATTTTACACTCATGCTGATATGCTAGTAGCCTCTGATCTCCATCTAGGGACCTCAGACCCCATCCTAGGGTCAGGCTCCAGTTCCAAGTCTGCAGTCTTTCTCTGCCGGGCTTCCATCCCTCAGGCCTGGTGTTTTCACTGTGGACTTAGATGCCATCACCAGAAAAGGCTCAAGTAAATTGATGGGACATGGGGTGCCCAATAAACATAACTGCAGAGGTCACTGTGATTACAGGACCGGGAATAGTTTTCCCAGCTTGTGATCCTTAGAGAAATCTGAGACTGGAGAGGAAGTGGACTTGTTTAAGGCCAGGCATTGAAACTGGCAGAGCCAGTTCTGGACCCAGGTAGTCTTCCCAGCCCGGCCTTGCCTGATGCTAGGTGGTCTCAATGACAGGAAAGCCAGCATGGAAGGTCCAACTCACCAAAGTAGAAACGGCTCCAGAAAGATCCATTTTCCAGGTGTTGAGGCAGACCCCTACAACATCCCATCTGAGTGCTGTCCCTGGATATTCCCAGGTGCCCGGCGGCGGTGGAGAGTGGAGCACCGCGCTGCTGTCCCCTCGAGAAGTGGACACCACAGCGGAGGGCCCCATCCCGTGCCGGCGCATGCGCAGTGGCAGCTACATCAAGGCCATGGGCGACGAGGACAGTGATGACTCTGGCGGTGGCAGCCCCAAGCCCTCACCCAAGACCGCAGCGCGGCGACAGAGCTACCTGAGGGCCACCCAGCAGTCTCTAGGAGAGCAGAGCAACCCCCGCAGGTGAACTGCAGCCCCGACCCTGAGACCCACCACCTTGATGGAAGCCCCGCCCTTTCATTTGTGCCACGCCCCTTGGGAGTCCATAGGCGAGCCCTATCCACTCACAAATCCTATCCCTGAACTTTAACTTAATGGGAGTCCTGGTCCAGCAATCTTTCCCTAAGGAAGCACTTGCAAGCTGATCTCCATAGACCAGCCTTCGCCCACAGGTGAGCTTCCCACACGTACAGTAGGTCCTTTGGGTACCTGGCCTTTTCTTTTGGCTACCCTGGGAGGAGAGTCCAGCTCTGCAAATGGATCTTTGTCTCTCAGCCTCAGGTCCAGGTGGCTTCCTGGGGTCCTGTAAGGGCTTCTTCAGGCTTAGGCTGGCCCTGCATGCTCACAGCTTGTCACTAAAGAACCCCACCATGATCCATCATGAGTCCCACAGTTATGATCTAGCCACAGGTGGTTCTCATCTTTTGGTGAGCCCCACACATAATGAGAATTTGGTGACTGGTCCATATAAACTCTGCGACTGGCATAATGTGCCCAGATAAGTTCAGTCCCTCAGGGGATCTGCCCCAGGGGATCCCTTCTTCAGCTGAGTACCGCACTCTCAGTGAGCCAATCCTGTGTACCAGCCTTTCCTGGGGGAGGGCCATTGTCACCTGTCCTTGCCCCTGCAACTGACCCCTATAGCAGGCTCCAAGACTGGGAGGGGGTGTAAACCCAGAAGTCACAGAGTCAGCCAGCGTTCTTCAGCTGTCTTCCAACCCAGGAAGTTCCATCCTGTTGCTTTAGGACTCTGGAGGATCAGAGAAAATAAGATTATTCAGCTCTTCCACACCTGGTGTCTGAACCCAGGCTTCCCAGAGGAGGTAGCCTAGGAAGGCTGGGACAGAGGGGGGAGGGGAGCAGGCCAGGAAGCAGCAGTGATACTGTGGCTGGAGCAGCCACCAACTGGTGAGCTGGTATAGAAGGCCAGCTGTGGCCTCCAGGTGGAAATCAGAGCACCATCAGTCAGCCCCAGCTGTCCCTCTCTGAGCCTCAGCTTCCCTATCTTTTTTTTTTTTGGTCTTTTTGAGACAGGGTCTCCGTGTAGCCCTAGCTGGCCTGGATTCGCTATGGAGACCAGGCTGGACTCAAACTCACAGAGATCTGCCTGCCTCTGCCTCCCGAGTGCTGGGATTAAAGGCATGTACCACCACGCCTGGCCAGCTTCCCTATCTTTAAGTGAGGGGCTGAGCTGGACTGGGCTGGCTTCTATGACCTCTTTTAGTCCTGAGAACCTGTAGTTCTATAAATGATCAGTGAGCTTTATTTAGGGTGGGCAAGGTGGGCAGAATCAGAGTCCAGGCCTTGGGTGAGAGGGATCTGTCATAGAAACGGTTGCTGTCTGTTGGCTCTGATCTTTCTGGCCACATGCCTGCCCTGATGTGGTGATCTGCATCCTAAAATCCCTACTCAAGCTCCATGCCGGCAGAGCATCAGCCCCATTCCATTAGTAAGGGCTGTAAGATAGAAGCAAGGGGTAGCAACTCACCAGGCTTACCCAGTCAGGAAGCTGGAGTCTAATCCATGCCCCATGTCAGTAATCTGAACTGTTCAATGCTTATGTGTTTATTTCCAGAATAAAGATGGGGAGGTGCCCAGGGTTAGGTAGGTGTAGGAAAGATTGACAAGTTGGGGCTACAGGGTAAGTGGCATAGCCGTACCTGGACATCACAGTGAGAACTGAAGCCCTTTGGGCAGCTCTAGGTAAAGGCTGAGGCTGTGGGCTCTAACCTACCTCTTTCCAGTCTCTGGAATAGCCCCCAGATTTTTTAGGAAAGAAGGGTGAGCCTTATAGGATTAGACTGGGCTGAGAGGCCTTGAGTTTCAGTCAAATGCAAGCACTTGCTGCCACCTTGAGGCTATAGTTGGCATGACAGGTGAGGGCAAAGCTGGGAGCTCTCCCTGGCTGGACTCCCCATTTCCCCTGCCCGGATTGGCAGTGGCTTCCATTTTTTTTCTCCTCTGCTATTTTTACCCCTCTGATGATCCTAGACAGTCTTCTCCCCTCTGGGCCTCAGTTTGCCAGGCTGAACAATGGATGGGCTGAGCCCTGTCTGCTCCCCACCCCCTCCCAGGAGTCTGGACCGTCTGGATTCAGTGGACATGCTGCTGCCTTCCAAGTGTCCCAGCTGGGAAGAGGACTACAACCCCATCAGTGACAGCCTCAATGACACGAGCTGCATCAGCCAGGTAAGGATGGCTGGAAGGTCGAGGGCTCAGTCCATTGTTGCTCTCGGCCCAGAGTGCTGGGTCCAGCTGCCTCCTCGTATCTCAGGCTTGACTCAAATGTCCCCTCCTCAGAGAGGCCTTCCCTGGTCACCCTGCCTACAGTAGTCCCTCATACTATTCCTGGACCCTGCTTAACCTGTTACTATTTGGAATTATATTAGTTTGCTGATCAATGGGTCATTCTGCCTCTTGAGGCTGGGGTCTTCCTACAGGCAGGGATCCTGTTGTCTTATTCCCTATAGTGCCAGCACCTGGCCTGGCATCCAGTCAGGCAGATGTTCAGCAGCTATCTGCTGAGTGGGCATGCCCTGCCTGCCCTGCCTCACCCATTTCATTTGCTCTCTCCTCTCAGTCTCCTGAGTCTGCCCTCCATGTTTCTCTCTCGGCCTTTTCTCCCCTTGTCCACATATTCTCTAGGTGTGTCTCCTCCTCCATGGTTCTTTCTGTCTCTCACACACCCCATCTCTATCCCTGCCTGGCCCAGACTTGTGGGATTGGGCAGACTGCCCGCCCCCCAATCTCACTCATCACTCCTTGCCCAGCCTCATCTCTCCTAGTCCAGAATCCTCTGTCCCCATCCCCAAAACCTTAATCACCTAAAAGGTTGAATCACCTAAGCTCCATAGGTGGTCCCAGTGTCACTTCTGGACCTGGGGAAAAGAAGACTGGGTACTATCCATGATCTGTATTTCTGGGTAGGCGGCCTGCCCAGGTGAGAGGTGGTCTCAGGAAAAATGGCAGATTATGCATCTTCAGTAAAATACTCAGTCCCAGGAGTAAGCTTCCCATCCCCAAGGAAGTTAAGCAAGATATCTTAGCAGCAGGGTCTGGCCAAGGTGAGGAGGAGACCTGAGAAGCCCAGCCCAGGTCTGGCCTTCCTGTAACCCACACAACTCTCTCCTGCAGGTTTTTGGACAGGCCTCCTTGATCCCCCAGTTGTTCGGCCATGATCAACAGGTCAGTATGTTTGACATTCTCATGCATCACAAACCAGAGTGCAGGGCTGGGTCTTGCAGCTGAGTAGTCCTGGCACCCAACCCGGGCAAGTCCAAGCAGAGCCACCACCATGACAGTCACCTCTAGTGAGGATGGAGTTTAGGTGCACTTTGGTGTCCTGTCTCTGCGCTCCCTACCCCATCTCTTTGTTGTGCTTCAGTTTCTTAAAACTGGGAGTGCATGAGCTAGTTTCTATAAATGGAGCAAAAAGTCACTGCAGGACAATGGAGCTTTTTCCCTAAAGTCTTCTGCCTCCTTCCCTCTGAAGCCTGGGTGGGGTCAGGGGAGACTGGTTGGTTCAGATACCTCTGAATGGGTCAGGTTGGAAGTGTCAGCTGTTTGGTACTACACCATCTCCCTGACGACCTCCCTCTGCCTCTCCTCACATCCCCAAACCTGGGTAAGGCCAGGAAGACTTTTGTTAGGATAGGTTGAGGGCTGATGGTATCTGCTGCCAGGTCCCAGCCCCCCAGATCCCCTGACTTTTCTCCTTCCTAGAGCCCCAGCACGACCTTTAAGGATGTGGGAGTGTTGAAGTGAATGTAGAGACTTTAAACTTCACAAAAGTTGGCAGAGGCAGTGCCAAGTGTGGCTCTGTCTGACTGAGAAGTACACGTCTCATGAACACTCATCCTGCCCCTGGAGGTGGCCCCTTCTCTCCCATCCCCAGGACCACAAAGTGGGAGACAGAAGGTACTCAGAACTCAACCCCTGTCATCAAGAGTGGGCAAGGGACTGTCCCAGGGCATACATCACAAATCAGCAAAGCTAGAACTGGCTACCTCCTGATTCCAGCCATGATGCCTTATGTGTCAGCTCCCCCCATGTTACAGGGATGATATGTTCCTCAGCAAGGAGTCTCCTGTAGGCCAGGTGATCCACTTCCACAGGTATGTGCTAAGCATCTGATGTTAACGTGCAGAGCCCCAGGGCAGCCCCCCACAGTAATACCTCAGGGAGACTTGTGTAGCACACTTCCCTGCTACCTTGGGAGTGCCTCAACTGATTACAAACATTTGCTTGTTCCACCTGCCTGCATTATGAGGTGCAGGTGACCAGGGGCTCTTTCCTGGATTCTCTTCTGAGCATTCAATGAGTTGTCTCATGTATTCCTGGTTATAGTTGAGATAGGGTCTCACATATCCCGGCTAGGCTTAAGCTCCCTCTGTAGTGCAGGCTACCTTAAAATTCTGATACTCTTGTTTCTACATCCCAAATGCTGAGGTGACAGGCACGAGTAACAGTACTCAGTTCTCTTAGTCTTGACAGCACTTTGGAATTGAGGCTGTAATTAGCCCTGTTTTATAGATGGAAAACTAAGGCCAGAGTCAGTCAGACTTGCCCATATTCATATTGCAAGGAATGATGGACCCACAATGGAAGCTCTGGTGGACTGTCTCCAGAGCTGTTCTATTGTGCTGTGCCCCCAAAGCAAGACCTCAGTTTGCAATCCTGGAGGATATACACTGATTGCTTTAATATCCTCTCCGAGTGATTTTGGGCATACCATGTGGCCTAATTTCAACTTATCAGACCTGTCCAATAGAACTTTCTGCAATGATGGCAAATGTTCTGCCGTCCATGTTTGTCCAAGGTAACTTCTTGTCACTAGTCACATGTGGCTTCTGAGCCAGTGAAATGTGGACAGTATGACCACCTAACTTTATTTAATTCTAATTTGTTTAAACCTAAATAGCGCAGCCACATGTGGCTTGTGGATACCGTATTAGACAGCACAGATTCAGACCTTCCCAATTGAGTGAGGACACATCAAGTCATTTGACCTGATGGTTAGACAAACAATTGCCCTGGCCGTTCTATTTCACACAAACAAGAAAAGGCAGGCTCAGAAAGCACAGGGCTACTGAGGTTACACAGCTGGGTTGGAGCTGGTCCAGACCCATCTTTCTTCCACATGGTGATCAGTCTGCCTGTACCCTCTCCTTCTCTAGCTCTGGCCTGCCCTCAGACCTCTACCTAGTGTCTATCTGTGGCCAGCTGATTCTTCAGCTTATGCTGTGTGATCTACATGCTACCAACATAGCCTAAGATGTGAGTCAGAAAGCTCTTCCAGAACCCTCAGAGAGTTTATGTGTGACAAGGCCCCTCCATGTCACACCTCCACCTTCTGATTTGCAGGATCCTAGGTGGTCATCTCTGGAGGGACACTTAGGAACCATGTAAATGAAGTTGAACCAGATGTAAGATGGCAAATCTACCCAGCACTGTTCTCTATATTGCCCTAATCCTCACTGCCACTCCCCTCGTTCTAACCCATCTTCTCTTACCAGGCTATTACATCAGCTTCATCTCTAGCTTCTGCCTCCACTCCAGACCCTTTCCCCATCCTCTAGCATCCAGTCTGAAACCAAGGCTTGATTACTTCTCCTTAAATTTATGTTTGGAGTGCTGGTTCTGCTCCTTCCTCAGTGGGTACCCCTGACAAATGTCTCCCCCTCACTGGCTCTTAGGGGTTTTTGTTTTGTTTTGCTTTGTTATGAAATTAAGGCATTGGACCATACAGTGGTCCAGCATACCTACTGAAATGCTAAATATCCAGCACACCTACTGAAACTCCCATTCCAATACTCAGGGCAGGCACCACAGACTTCTTTCATGCTAAATTCAGATGTGTTGTTAAAATCTTTAAATTGATTAGTGTGGACAAGAAGATTGAATCTTGCCAACACCCTGCAGTATTTCTCCTCTCTTCTCACTGTAGAGATGGGAAAATAGAGGCAGGCCTCCAGAGGTGAGAGAGGCTGTTCACTTCTTTTTTAAAAATATTTTATTTATTTTTATTTTATGTGTATGAGTGTATTACCTGCATGTGAGTGCACTGTGTCGTGCAGTACCCACGGAGGTCAGAAGAAGGCTTTGGATTCCCCTGAAACTGGAGTTAAGGATGGTTCGTAGCCACCATGTGGGTGCTGGGAATCAAACCTGGGTCCTCTGCAAGAGCAGTCAGTGCTCTTAACCACTAAGCCATCTCTCCAGCCCCGGCTGTTTGCTTCTTAAGGGCTGCATCTGCCCATCTGTGCCGAGTGAGTTGGGTGGAGAAGTGGGCTAAGAGTCAGCTAGACAAAGCCCTGAAGCTGAGCAGTACCCCTTTCCCCTGGACCAGCAAAGATGCCTGCTTCTGATGCCTGCTTCTGTTGGGACAGGTCCGAGAGGCAGATCTGAGCGACCAGTACGAGGCAGCCTGTGAGTCGGCCTGCAGCGAAGCTGAGTCCACAGCAGCAGAAGCTCTTGATTTACCACTGCCCAGCTACTTCCGCTCACGAAGCCACAGCTACCTGCGAGCCATCCAGGCAGGCTGCTCGCAGGAGGAGGACAGTGTCTCCCTGCAGTCCCTCTCCCCACCGCCCAGCACTGGCAGTCTCAGCAACAGTCGCACGCTTCCAAGTGAGTACCATAATGAAGGACGTTTGATGTTTTGTTTTGCTTTGTGTCATCTGCAAAGAGATCCCAGGAACTCTGCTGGGTGGACCAGCCTGGGGAAATGCTGGGGAGGAATTCATAGGGTGCTGATCACCACCAGAAGGATGATAGAGAGCAAGTGGCCTTGGGGTCAAACATCCCACTAACTGGCAAACTGGAGCCTAAAAGGGGGTGACAGAAACAGACTATCCCATGAGCAGATGATGGAGAGGGCTTGCACCCAGGGATCCTTGGCTACTTTTCGTCTTACAGTAGCATCGGGATGGCAGGTGGAGCTTACTAAAAGGGAAGTACCACTTGGGGTAGGCAGTGTAGGCAAACCTGTAGGGAGAGCAGAAACCTTCAAGGAAGGCAAGAAGAGCAGTAATGAAGGGGTGCAGTCTGCTCCCAGCCTTCCCAAAGGGCTGAGTTTGTTGGTTTCTCTCATACTCACCATCAGGAATGGCCTGGCCTTCCTGATGCACGTTCTGACTCCTCCAAAGATGGCCTCTGCATGCGCAGAGGAAGGAGTGCATTGGGTAAGCAAGCCATGCAAAAACAGAAGTCAAGACCAAGAAAAAACTGTACAAATTCTGGTTTAGTCAAGTCAACCTTGATCTTGCTTTAGCTAGCTAGTTCTCTTTCCTGAACCTCAGTTTCCCCATCTCTAAACTAGACCCCAGTTAGCCTGGGGGAGCTGAAGACTATGTTGAAAGCTCACCTGCCACATTCTTACCACACACAGACCCTAAATAGTAGTAGTGGGCCCACAAGTAGTAGTGGTTATGACTGCTTCTCAACCTTGACTCTGAATTCTGACAACCAAGGACAGTAGGGGTTGGACTGTTGTAAGAAGAGACAGCTGCTTCAAGTGCTCAGCTGGTGTTTGATGTCACTGAATGAACCTGAGTTCCACAGATGTTCTACAAACAGGTAACTGACATTGATTAAATGAGCTAGTCTTTGTGGGGGCCAGAGCAGAAACAGGAGTCCCACAGCTGCCTTCCACACCCTCCCCAATCTTCCTGCCCCACCCCCACCCCCAGAGTATATCTGAGGGCAGATCCCTAAGCTTCTCCAGCCACATTTAGAACTGAAAGCACAATCTCATTTTAGATATTAAGAGTCCAGTCTAGTCTAATTCAAAACTTCAGACTCATCTGCCCCAAATCTTGTGCACCTGCAGCTAGGGGCCTGCCATGGCCAGGAAACCAGTGGGGAGCTAGATGTATGTGGTAGTCCGTGTCTTCTCTGAGCTTTGTTCGTCATTGCTGTTTCTGGTTCTACTGGTGTTGGGACTCTCTGAACCACTGATGCCATAGGCTGGCTTTCTGTCCTATCCTGAAGGGTTTTCCTGATGTCTTCTTTCCTGGCACTGCTGCTTATGCCCCCTCACCTTCTCCATCTGGTAGTTCATCTCCACCCAGCCTCTGCTAGGCAATCTGCTTTCTGTCCTGCTGGCCAGACATCTGGGGCAGAGCTGTCGGAAGACAACTCCATCTCTATTTTCTCTCCTGGTAACCATTTAACCTATTTGAAAAGAAGCACCATTGCATGTGGATTTGAATATGAACTGCTCTGGTACAGCCTTCTTTCTTGACCTGCTATCAAGTAGGCCACCAGCTTCTCTACTTTAGAGGTCTCCAAGCTGGAGCTGAAGCAGCTATGCTACAACCTCCAAATGGCAGGCTGTCTCAGTGCTCTGCTATAGTCCCATGGGGGCCTCCTGTACAGACCACATTCCCCACACCCTGAGAAGTTCTTAAAGAATGGGTTTGAAAGGACACACAGCATCCACAGAAATTTACTGCAAATAAACCCTTACTCACCAGTTTCTTCCAACCCCCATTACTAGTGCCTGAAGAAGCATAATAGCTGCACATCCCGGAACTGGGATGGTTCAGCTCTTGCTTCCATCACACTGCATAAGAAACATAATACAACAATGAATATTACTTCCTGCCCTCAAGTTTGTCAGTCTTTCATTCTCCTGGGATCAAAGGTCCTCCTGGGATCAGTAGTCTAGCTAGGGTGAGTTCTTCTCATGGGGAGGGCAGAAGGTAAGCAAGCAAGGCCAACTAACAACACAAGCACATTCAAGGTCCAGCATAGACAGGTATCTGCTAACATCCCGTTGACTAAAGCAAGTTATGGGATAGAACTCAAAATCAAAGGTGAGGACCTTCTTGCCTTTTATAGGAGATTTTTTTCATATAGCAAAGGAGGTGTAGATACAGAGCAAGGTGAAGTCTCAGGGGCAAGCATCCATTATGCTGTATTCTACTCATTCATTCATTCCTCTCCCACATAGAAAACACTTATCCCTACCCAAAATGCCCCAATGTTTCATCTAATCATAGCATCAGGATCCCATGATCTGTGTCAGGTCTGATTGTAGCCCCTCTTGATCAACCAACCTATGATCTAAAAACCCAAGTCACCTTCCCTGTAGCCCAACACCTCCTGCCCCTAGCATACTTGACAAAATAAGGACAGGATAACTGCCACTCACATGCCTCAAAAATCAGAGGGATTCAGACTTACTGAACCATGGCAATTCTGAAGTCATTCTGAGCAACTCATTGGGCAGATACCCTCCAACAGGAATATTCCTGGCATATCTCCTATACTGAGAGTATAACCTTTGGAGCTTAGAACATTAAAGTGGTTGATGTCTTTATACATCTACTTTGGCCTAAGCTGATCAGGAAATCCATTCTCCTACCTCAAATATGTTGCAGGTTTCTATGTCTGTAATTTTATGTAACTTCCTCTACCAAAGTCAGCCCATTTTGAGTCATGTCTCCCTTGACATAATGATGTTTAAATCTACATTAAAATATTTCAATTTTTGTTTTTATTATGTGTGCACGCATGACGTGTGTGTGTGTGTGTGTGTGTGTAAACATGCATGCCATGGAGTACATATGGAGGTCAGAGGACAACTTTATGGAGTTGGTTCTCTCCTTCCACTTTTATGTGGGTTCTAGGGATTAAACTAAGATCACCAGGTTTGTGCAGCAAGCTCCTTTACCTGCTGAGTCATCTCACTAGCCCCTAAAATCTTTTAAAAATAAAATCCAACTTTGCTTCATTAAAAAAATAATATACAGGGCTGAAGAGATGGCTCAGCAGTTAAGAGCACTCACTATCTGTTCTTTCAGAGGACCTGGGTTTGGTTCACAGCACCCACATGGCAGCTAACAACTGACTGTAACTCCAGATCCAGGGGAATCTGTTGCCCTCTTCTGGCCTCCTCAGGCATTGCACACATGGGTGCACTTATATATACTTACAGGCAAAATACTCATACACATAAAATAAAAAATAAAAATAAATTTAAAAATTAATATACCAGGCGTAGTGCTGCTCACCTTTAATCACAGCACTTGAGAGGCAGAGGTAGACAGATCTCTGTGAGGTTGAGGCCAGCTGGTCTACATAATGAGTTCCAGACCAGCTAGAACTATAGGGGGACCCTATCTCAAAAACAAAACAAAACAAAAACCCCACAGTAATAATAATAACAATAATTATTAACATTGGTTAAGCAATAAAAAAACACATATAGACACACACTGTGCATATTCTATATGGACGAACCAGCATTTGTTATTAAATGTAGAGGTGTAGGGCTCCAATTATTCTGTTTGGGGGCTTTTACCTAAACAGATATAGTCAAGAAAGTATTTTGGGGGCTGGAGAGATGGCTCAGTGGTTAAGAGCACTGACTGCTCTTGCAGAGGACCTGGGTTCAATTCCCAGCACCCACACGGCGGCTACCAACCATCCTTAACTCCAGTTCCAGGGGAATCCGAAGCTCTCTTCTGACCTCTGTGGCATTGCATGCCATGGGTGCCCTCACATACATGCAGGCAATATACTCATACACATAAAAAAATAAAAATAATTTTTTTTGTCTTTTTGAGACAGGGTCTGCTTGTAGCCCCAGCTGTCCTGGAACTCACTATGTAGACCAGGCTGGCCTTGAACTCACAAAGATCCGCCTGCCTCTGCCTCCTGAGTACTGGGATTAAAGGCGTGAACCACCACGCCTGGCTAAAAATAATTTTAAAAATTTTTATTTATTATTTTTATTTTATGTGTATTGCATGTATTGCCTGCATGTAGGTAAGTATACCTGTGTCGTACAATGCCAATGGAGGACAGAAGAGGCTGCCGGATCCCCTGGAACTGGAGTTATGGACAGTTGTTAGCTGCCATGTGGGTGCTGGGATTCAAACCCAGGTCTTCTGCAAGAACAGTGTTCTTAACTGCTGAGCCATCTCTCCAGACCCCAAAATAATAATTTTTTAAAAAGTATTTTGTGACAACTCACACCTGCCCAGACACATGTGCACATATGCACCTACATATATAGAAAGACTGGTGCCCCTAAACGTGTATGTGTGTAGTATGAAAACAGGTTTGGGAAGATGGCTCTGTCGGTAAAGGGCAAGCATAAGGGCCTAAATCCATTCTTCAGAGTTGTGAAAAAGAAAATCCAGCTGGGTGTGGTGGCACACCCCTTTAATCCCAGCACTCAGGAGGCAGAGGCAGGCAGATCTCTGTGAGATTGAGTCCAGCCTGATCTACATAGTGAGTTCTAGGCCAGCTGGGGCTACAGGGAGACCCTATCTCAAAAAAAAACAAAACCAAAAACCACAGAAGGAAAATCCAGGTGTGGCAGCACAAGCCTGTAATTCCAGCACTGGGGAGGCAAAGAGTTGGGTCCCTGCAGCTCATTGCTTAGCCTCCATAAGGTGGAGATTGAGGATGACATCCAACATCAACCTCTGGCCTCCATATGCATGTGCACACATACCCTCACACATTTGTGCCCACATACATAGACATGTGTGCACACACAAAGCAAGTAGATGTGAAAACACATGCATACCGATACTTTCACATGTATATATGTACACCTAATTCAACACACCCCTGCACACAAGTACATACCTGTGTGTCTCCATCAAGGCTCC